AAGGTGGTTTTCCTCAAATTCAGACAGAACTTTTTGTGTTTCAGTTTGTGGGTGTTGCCTCTTGTCCTGTCTCTAGTCACCACTGAAAAGAGCCTGGTCCCTTCCATACATGTAACTGTGGATCTGTGAGTATTACAAGTTCCTAGAAAATACTTAAAAAGCAACTGACTGATTTTCTAGTGGTGGACTGACTGCAGTCTGATGTTTTTTCCCTCCCCTCCCCTCCCCTCCCCTCTCCTCTCCTCCCTTCTCCTCTCCTCTCCTCTCCCCTCCCCTCTCCTCCCCTCTCTTCTCTCCTCTCCCCTTGCTTTTTTCTTAATCTTCACACTCACTTTCTACTGTTATGAATATTTTGTTCTTCCCTTGTTTTTGCATTATATTATTTTATATCTTGAAAGWATGTAGCTCTGCTTTCCCTCTTCARTTAAAAAGAAATCTCTTCTTATAGTGCAATAAAGAGTCTGCACTGTGTTGCCTATTCTCTTGGAATTGTTCTGATGTGCATCCTGTCTTATTATGGGATTTTTCATAAATTATTAAGCATGTTTTCTAGGTCTTCAATTGCTGGATTGACTGGGGGATTTTTAAGTCTGTACAGGAAAAGTATCTGCAGAAGTTGAGCCATTCTAACCCTGCCTGGCAAATGGAGAAATACAAAATGGTAAGTTGATGACCAGTTCACAGTGGGACAACAGATGTATACAGATCCAAATAGCCAGGGTTGTTCCCTCTCTAGACACAAAACCAGCAGCTATTTAAGCAGCAGTTTCATATGGTCTTGCTTAACAAAGCCATCTCCATTTTTGTATGTGTTGGTGTGGTGGAGGCGTATTTTTTCATGATTTTCCTCTCAAGTTCAGCTTCCAATTCTTATACTCCTGCATACAGAGACAACGAAAGTCTCTGCTCTGCTCCTCTCCAAAGCAGATCTTCCCAGAAGTAAGTATTAGTCTATCTGAAGGAATATACAACTTATGTTCTCTGAGCATTCTGCATGATTGATCCTAAGGACAACTTATTCTTTTTAATTGATTGCTGGGAAGTTGAACTTCCCTTGATCCAATKGTATATGGTATATTTGGAATTGAGCACTGAAGGTCTGCATTTTCTTCAAGAACAATCTTAAACACATAGTCTGTGCCCAGTGCTGTTCGGTTCATCARTTTTAGGGCACTAGCTGGAGAAGGTGAGAAAAGAAGCAAGCATTTTTCAATAGCAAAGGGCTTCAGATTTTTCAGTCATTGTCTTCAGTGTCTGTAACATGATCAGAAGAGAACAAGAATACCCAAATTCTAGATTACGATTTGGAGTTTTAGAATTTCCATTTTTCCTCCCAAGTACAGGCTTGATGGAAAAAAGAACTTACCTGKTTTCCCTCTCCAATAGCAGACACAAGAAGGATGGATTTGGTGAACCTTACTGTTTCCTTTTGTCCATTCCAAATCTCATGGAGATAGCCGCGTAGCACCAGGTAGTTGCCATTCCTTGTCTCAGCATAATGGCATAGTATACATCCCTTCTGGATCATGGAGCAGATTCAAAAACTGTGCATGAAATGCATGGAATTTGAACCTTTTACTCTCAAGCTCTGGAATAGTCACCAGGTGACATGTTTCATCTCTTAGAACATACTGCGCAACACCTTGAACTAGATTTGCCCACCAAATTGGCATAACAAATGATAGCCTGATGCCCATGAACATCTTGACTTATCATCTCAAACACCAACATGACATTCTTTTAGGAAAAAAAGGTAAATTTCTTTTGCCTTTATTATGTCTTCGCAAATTTACTGGGCTCCCAGCCACAGAATATGTGTACTGATGGCTTCATAAACTTTTCTAATCCCCTTTGTTGGCAGAGAAGAGTCAATAGGTGCTTGTGGTCTGTCCAAGCTATTATTTCACTCCTCCTCATGTTGCTATAACTTTCCCTCCCTCAACCCATTCCCAGTGTACAACATCAGTCACATTTAAATGCCATCATTTACGTAGCTCTGCTCTCAAACCGTGACAAGACTTTTGTTTTTGATGACGGAATGAGACATTCAGTGCACACTCTCTGGCTGCACTACRTCTCAAAGGAGAATCTTGCCATGTCCTTCTTTTGCAGCAAACATTTCTCTGACTCTCCCCAAAACCTTTCCCAAAGTTTGAGACAGGTGGAATGAGGATGGTGTAAACATCACACTTCAACTGGTTCAAGCTGATTCAAATGGACTCGCATGAGCTGGATGCTGTTTAGAATCTTTTTCTGGTGACCAACCAGGGTGATCCCAATTCGCTGGATATCTCTGCAAGAGAATGGAGGGTGTGGAAGGTGTTAAAAATGGGCTCCTTGTTTTGAAGAGTCCCAGTCTATCTCCCTGTAGCTCCACATCAATTTGTGTGGATATCATCTTTTTGTGAGAAACAGTTGATTACAGTTTCTGCTTTCACACTACAAAGCAAAAGTTTGGGGGGTGGGAGTGGTAAAAGGCTATTTTAGTCTCAACTTGGTAGGTTATGATACAATAAGAAGCAGTGGAAGAATGTTCTATTGTCCCATCCTTCTCTTGACTGTAGTCTTCCACATAATACTTCAACCCAGTATATAGCATGACTAGTTCTTCATATTTCCCTGAAAATGGTTATCAATGGCAGCTGTCACACACATGTGTTAGTCTCTCTGTAACACTGACAATATGTTTTGTAGCGTGTGTGGAACCTCTAACAGTGCTCATAGAAACAGATAAAAATGTACAACGGTATGGAGAGTATCCATAGGTCTGAAAAGATGTAAGAAAGAATAACTACTCTACTCTGAATTCCCTCTCCTTTCTCATGTGTAAGTTTTCTCCAGATAGTTCTTACTCCACATATCTCTGCCTGCTTTTGCTTTGCAGTAGGTAATCTTCTGCAAAGAAAGCTCACTGTATGTTATTTCCTRCTGCCTACCCTTCTACTTACTCCAGAGTCATGCGTGATATGACATCAAATGCAATCAGACCAGCCTGATCAAAGTTCTCCTTGTAACGGCCCATCTTGATGGCATCCAACCACTCATGGGCACTGCTGAGTGAAGGGAAGTCTGGAGGAGAGTTGCTCAGCAGAGGCTGAGATGGTCTGAAAAACAGGTAAGAACARGTAAGTTCTAAAAGCCCAAGTTACCATCAGCTGACCACCTCTGTTAAGCTGAGTTAAGGGGAGAAAATGCAATCTCAGAACAGCACAGAATAGTACCAGATGTACCAATAGTACCATGAGTACCATGCCCTGATTTTCAGCATCCCAGCTTGATATTCTGTTCCAGGGTACCTATCTTCCCATTTCTACCTAAAAAGAAATCAACCCAACCTAAGGAAGTTATGSTTTTTCCCATTTTATATTTTCTCAGGCATGTTCTCGTTGCCCAGTCTACATTTTCTGGGACCTATCTGCTGAGAAAGAAGTTGCAGTGGGAAGGTTTCGAAGGAAGARAGATGAAACCCTGCATCTTTTTCCCTTGTGACTCATTCCCCAAGATGCTCTCCTTAGACCAAGCAGTAACTTGTTGAGAGAGGAAGTGATCTTCTGAACTGCAACATCTGTCAACTATAACAGTCGAGGGCGAAGAAACCTGTTTATGGATGGCATTCACTGTTTCCCCTGCCCTATGAATCTGTCCAAAGCTACAACTCCTTTTATGTTCTAGTTTTTAGTAAACTGTGAAGAACCATGTACTTTTCCTGTCTCCCAGCCATAGACTTCATTGCAGTGGGCCAAGGTTTTATACCCTTGGGAAAAATCTTTCAGGACAACAGGACATAATTCCTTCATCAGCCTGACAGCCATCTAATCTCAGGTCCATTTATCGCCCCAGAGACTTCGCTTTTGCTGAACTTGGGCCTGTGGTTTCATCAGGCCTAAAAATACAGATGGGAAAGTATGGGATAAAAGTGGCAATTCTAATTACAGTTCTAGCTACAGTTTTCCTTTCCTCCACAAGCTAAGGTCTTCTTGTCCTTGATCACCTCTTCTAATACCTTATGTAGCTGTACACAGTACTATCCCTCCCTTCATCTCCAAGATCTCTCACTCCTGCTCATTCTAAGTGCACCTGATACTCAGCGCTCACAACTCCTAATTCATTCTGATCACCCACTAAGTGAATCAGACTACACAGTTCTTCTTCCAGCTCCCTCTCCCTCATTCACTGTTCACTGTTTTCTCCTCATGATGCATACCCAAAGGCCAGTCTTATTATTTCACTCTGAATCCTCATTTTACCTGCTGCTCCCAGTGCCAGTGGCTTTGAGTGCTGATGGTTTGCGGATCATTTTATCTAGGGCACTGACTATTTGTTCAAATTTGGGTCTCTGTACCCGTTCTTTTTGCCAGCAATCAAGCATTAGCAGGTGCAAAACAGTTGGGCAGTCTGGAGGTGGTGGCAGGCGATAGTCCTGGTCAATGGCATTAACCACCTRCAGGAAAAAACAAAACTTGATCATAGCTGGAAAAAAGCAAACAAACAAACAACAACAATAATAAAACCCCCAAGCTGTAGTCACTGGGCTGCATATGACTTTCTGCTACTGAATTTGATAGAGAGGAGAAAGGCAGATTAACATTCTCACCGCTTCCAAAACTTACATCCTGATTGGACATGTCCCAGTAAGGCCTCTCACCATAGGACATCACCTCCCACATGACAATGCCATAGCTCCAGACATCACTGGAGGAGGTGAATTTGCGGTACTGGACAGCTTCAGGGGCAGTCCAACGGATGGGGATTTTGCAGCCCTAGGGACAGTGGGAGAACAATCAGAAAGTTAGTGAGATATGGACTATTTGAGGAAGTGTCATCACTAAATTCATCCCCTGCAGCATGGCACAACAGAAATAGATACTGCTGTTTTAAATTCAAACTATGTTTAAGGTCCACCTTTTTCTATTGAGACTTGCAGATGAAGAACCAGCATCAGCCTTTCCTTATTTCTGTGAATTTCATAATATAACAGAATTCAACCTTTTTATTCTGGTGGCAGATAATCTAACGTTGCTGAAAGTCACAGGCATTATGACACCTACAGCCATTTTTTACAATCCCATCTTGTAACATTAAATTTTAGCATTAAATCCTTCCTCTATCTTAACCTCTATGCAGGTGTGACCTCCCAGATCATAATTCAGGCACTGGGCATGTATTTCTAGGCATATATAACTTGCCTACACCTTTATACCAAATGCTGGTATCAACCTGCCTGTTATACTCTGCCCGCTTTTGTGTTATATATGATGGCTGTCAGAACTTCATGAGAAGTAAGTTTATCTGATGGTTGTTTGTAAGACCCTCCAAGGGATATATTTCATGGCTGTCTTGTTTAGAGGAAGAAAACTACTCTTTCCTCAAGGACTGCATTCCTTCCTTCAGWCGTTTATACTTCCTGTGAGAAATCAATGAACTCCGTTTCAGTTGATGGTGTTTGTCCTATTCACCATTATCCCACGAAGAACTGTACTGACACCTCAGTTCACATGAATCAGATTTTCAGTTGTTCTTGGTTGGAACTGGTTTGGAACAGACAGTCCTAAGGTGAAAGACCCCACYCAACTTTTCTGTGGTTTCAAGGTGATTTAAAAAGGGTATGCCAAAGTAGTCTGTACCACAGTCAACTGAATGTTCTATGGGCATGAAGAACAAAGGCTCTACATACATTTACATGTAATCGAAGAGAACCACATGGCAATTCTATGCTTGGCAGCAGAGCAGTATCTCCCTCCAGAGTGGTAACTCACCAGAGCTCCAGTATAGGTGGGGTTTGAAGCATCATCTTCCAGAAAGCGGGACAAACCAAAGTCTGAGACCTTGCACACAAGGTTGCTGTTGACTAAGATGTTACGTGCTGCCAGGTCACGATGTACATAGTTCATATCTGAAAGGTAGCGCATACCAGCTGCAATTCCTCGCAGCATTCCCACCAGTTGTAGCACACTGAACTGTCCTTCCTTCTGCTGCAAATTTAGAGGAAAATAAAGCTTTCTGTAACAAAAGGAAATGAAGCCAACAGGCAACAGCAAAGAGCAATATAACAAGGTGGGTTTATGAAGTTAGAGTACATCTATCTTAAGTTCAGCGAACCTCTGAAAGTTCAAGGACAGCCAGTAAAAAGGAGTATGAGATGCTTAAGGCAAAAAAAAATTCTCTAATGAAGTCAGACAACAGTGATCTACTTCTGAAGACAAATTTCATCTGATGGCTACATAGTCTGTTAGCCTTCTGTGTCTAAAAAGGCTGTGTCTTGTTTCATATTGAGTTGACTAAATGAAGGGTTTCAATCAGAGAGACAACTCTGCTCTTTACAATGAATTTCTATACTATCCAGTAGGTTCATGCACTTCCAAATAAACTCTCTAAAATAGTTGTGGTTAGACCTGCATTTGATTGAAAGAATCTGCACTATAGAGATATCTATTTTTGTTTCATTATTAGGGGGAAAAAAGGGAAACTGAGAGTTTAATTTAATGTAAGTGCTATATATTAACTCTACAGTTACTGGTAAGTTTTATTATTTGAAGTCATCTAAAAACATTCAGAATAAATAAAAATATTCAGAATGAAAACAGAATAAATACAGAATAAAAACATTACTGGAAAGGCAAACTTTGGAGCATGCATATAGTCGCTGAAGGGCTATAAGCAAAGGAAAACAATTTAGAATTAATTATCATTAAATATTTGAGTTGAAGATATCTATATCTTATAGAGTATAGAGATGTTATATGATGAGTGAGCATTATAATCATGTTAGCCCAGCAAACATTTAATCTGATAACTTGCTTATATTTCTATTGCATTTGCAGATAGCAATATGGAGATAAGRAGGAAGAGGAAGGAGTAAGGAAATCAACAGATCTGAGAGTGGCACAGAGCAAGGTGAAGAAGGAACAGTTGTTGGGGACTCCATCTCGTGGTACCCTGAGGAAGGAATCCAGCGATCCGTTCTCCATGAACTCTGTGACAATCATGACTGGTCGGCTCTTTGTGACTACACCCTCCAGGTGGATGACATTGGGATGATCAAACTGCCCCATGATGCTGGCCTCGCTTAGGAACTCCCGCCGTTGTTCATCCGTGTAACCTGACTTCAGGGTCTTAATAGCAACTGTATATTCACGCTTCCCTGGCGGTTTTAGGCGCCCAAAACACACCTCTCCAAACTCTCCTGCCAGGGAGGGAAGAAACACAGCTCAAGTAAGGCAACACAGCAAAAAGAAAAAATTAGTTTTGTGCAGTGAAATGTTTTACTATGAAAAACACCAGCACTACTTGGGAATAGGGTTACTAAGCTGTTACTGAAGGCTCTGAATTCAGTCAGCTTGGAGGATACATCTTCAGGGTTCAAATGAGGTACTCTAGGTCTTCTTAGGGTGTTTTCAACTTGCGTGGGGCCAGCATCTTAGGTTAATTAGGTTAAGGTGCATTTGGGTAAAAATGAAGCTTAACTATCCAGAGAGACTTGATGTGCCAGGAAGGAGGGTGGGGTCCATTTCAGGCCAGCAGGGTGTCAGCTCTCAAGGTAGATAAGAAGGCATTTTAGAATCTGTAGTTTCTCACGCTACCTGATCCAATGACTTCTTCAATCTTGATGAAGGACACATCAATCTCCTTGGCAAACTCTCTAATAGCTTCATTAGGATCTTCATAGGTTGAAGGGTCAATGTAATATTTCACTCCAAGCCCTGCAGTGGAGAAGACAGCCCAAAACATCACGCGAGTCAATCCTTGAGAGAAAGGGGTGCTAGTGAGTCCTGAAAGTAGACAGGTCCTTGTCATTTGTTCCTCAGGAACACTTACCTCGTGCACTGATATACTGCTGCAGGCGGTCTGTGTATGGAGTCTCTCGTCTTTTACTGCAGGACATAAAGGAAAAGAAAGTCAAACACACACAAAAGTCTCCCATAGGATGCTGGAGTAGGCTTCTCAGTGCAAGGCTCAGAGGATCCTTGAACTTAGGGGTAGAAAAAGGTCATTAAGATCCTAGCCTGCCTATCCTTTATTAAACAATGTGGTATTGTTTTCTACATGGTAGTGTGCAATCCCAGGTTAGATATGTCAAATGACAGAACTTCCTGCACTACTGTGATTTAAAAAAAAAAAAAAAAGAAAAAGAAAAAACAAAAAAAAAGAAAGTAAAAAAAGCCCCTTAGTTTAGCATTACTATCTTATCCTGGAAATTTTCTTTCTGTGGAGGCTAAACTTACCTTTTAATTTTATTCAACTGCTGCAAACTACTCATTTCAATACCAAGCTAAACCCTCTCTTTCAATGTCTTTTAATTTCTTCAAGAACATTCTCTTTTTAAGAGCCATTTACTCAAATTTCACATATTTATGTGCTTAATTAACCCCAGAAAGGTTGATATTTTATTTCTGCTCTCTGTCACTTAACAGCATTTACTTTGGTTAGCCTTTGCCTAAGCATGGTACCCAAAGCCAACTGCACAGATCCATGGAAATCTGTTTCATGATATGATCTCCGTGTGTGCAGCTCAAAACAAGTATGATCTTAATTACTGTAACTTTTTTTCTACAAAGATACATCTGATTTCCAGTCAGAATAGACGGTTCTCAGCAAAGGCTCTTCTAAAATACTGTCATCCCCTGAAATGTGTATGTTTCAAGCAATTTTCCCATGAGATAACTGTTTTCCAAGTGTCATCCTATTCTTGGTTTACTGTTAATATTTTCCATTTTCAAGCCACTTTCTTTTTTTCCTGACACAGTATACAGCTTTTCCTTTAAAAACATAATTCATGCTAAATCATTTCTACATAATTCTAAATCATATTAATTAGACTAGATCCCAAATCAAACCTAGGGTATCCTGTAGTATTCCATTGTATAAATAGTTTTGTATTACCTCATATGCTTTACTGTTTAATATCTGTCTCATGGTTGCAGTTCTCCAACCTCTTTTGAGTTATGTTCTATTTGCTTCAGTTAACATGAAATCTGAATTTTCTGAAATATGATGTTACATGGCTCTACTAAAAGGACCAATGAAATTTTGTCTATTATACTTACTTGCAAGACCTTTTTTTTAAAAAAAAAATCTGCTAAAATTACATATGTGGAGTTATTTCTACTTCAAAAATCTTTTCTTTTTACTGTGGGAAGAAATTGACATCAGAGGATGTTGCCCAAAACCTTTTAAAGCGCATGTGGCAAGGCAGACTTACATTAGCTTTTTTCTAGGTCATCCATCATTTAAAAAAGCAAGTAAACAAATAATTAGCTTAAATAGATAAGGCTTTCACACTGTGTGTTGGCAGGACACGATGTACTAACCATATGCAAAAACAAATTTAAATTATTGCATTTGTCTCTAAATACATTCAATCTTTTTACAAGTTCATTTTATATGGCCTTCCTCATTTCCTACATCTTCAAGCTTACTCTTGTAGACACATTTAAAATATAAATTTGATAGCTTTTTTTTTTGGAGTTGCTCAGCGTTTTTTTTAAGCTGCTATTTATTGCAGATGCTCCCTTGTGCATAAATAAATCTACCTTTTATGATATAACTTTCTAGSTGGTAAAGTATGCTTACAGAATCTCTTTGACAGAATCCCCTCCCCAATGCAGTTTGGTAGTATTAAATCACTGTAGTTTAGTTTTGTTGTTGTTTTGTTTTGTTTTTCTGTTTTCTTAGAAAAATATATGCTTTATTGAGTTGTGCACATCATATCACATTTCCAGCTGTAACAAGAAATTATATTTTAACAGTTCGAAACTACAAAAGGAGGCAATAATATAACAATATAAACATAACAATATTTGATAACTCTTGTCTTTCCAGAAAGAAAAAATAATAAAATAAGATATACACAGATGAAGAAAACAAATACAGAAAGGGAAAGAGAACAAAATAAAAAAATCTGAAACTAAATGTCACTTTCTAAAGTTAAGCAGTTTATAAATTTCTTTAGCCCAGCAGAAAGAAAAGCTAATAAGTCCCTCCTGTTTAGAGGCAGAGTAGAGCAAACATACATAAGTCCACTATTTACAGTCTAAGGGATAAAGTTCAAAACTCAGGAAATCCAAGAAGTGGGTGATGACTGTTTCCTTTCTTCAACTATCAAAAACCTCTAACCCCTAAAAAGCTTTATGAGTAACTCTTTATATTTCTGCAGTTTACATATTCTGTCCTTCTTTTGCCATCGCAGACTATCTGTGCATTAACTTATCTTCCCTGTTTTCCTTTCCAAAATGGCATGTGGTTCTGCATTTTCGAACCTAGATTTTATCTGAGTCTGTATTTCATAGATAGCTTTTTTTTTTTTTTTTAGCAAATGATCTATGGTGTCTGATGGTTCTTGATTAAAAGATACTTTGCTGCTACGCAGCATCTTTTGATAAGGGGATCTAAAACAGTTTTTCTTCTCTACATTGTTTCATTCATTACTTGCCTGACTTAATTTACAGTCTCAATAGAACTAATTCATTTAAATTAATATTATTAATTAATTAATATTAAAATTAATATTTAGCACTAGCTTTGAAAAGTTCTATTGCTACCTAGCTGAACTGCAAGTACATGAGCGTTTTACCCCAACGACATGCACCTCAGATGGGAATAATGAGGCAGAATCTTCCTTTAAATTCAGATTAGGGTCTCAAGGGCATTTGAATGAATGTCAATCAGGATGTCTCTCTTGGGACAGGGTTATGTTGCAGGGGTAAGTTCCACTTTCTGGGGTGCAGGCACTGGCACATGAGCAGGTCAAGGAATTCACCTCTTGAAGATGATGGCAAGGATGGCAATGGCAGCAATTACCAAGAAGGCTAGACCACCAAGTGCGGAGCCCACAATAAGCGGCAGTCGGTCCTGCACCATCTCCGAGCGCTCCCCTAGCAAGTGAGACACAAACATACACACAAAATGCAGAGGACAGGGGCTGTTAGAGTTTCCTTTCTACTCAGCTAGGTTTCACCCATAATACCATTCCCACCAGTCCTCCACTTTCGAGGCTTTGCCTGTATGTCAACATATGCTTTTATGTTTATTCCTCCTTCCCTTCACTGCACTTCTCTAGTCCTTTCTGTCTCTGGAAAGTCAGTGTTCCCTCCAACCCTCTTTGGCCTTCCTTTATCCACTGATACCTGGCTAAGCTATGTCAGTAGCTACCACTAAACTTGGACTGTGAACACACTTAKCTCAGCTCAGCTTAGCTTGTAGATAATGTACTTAAGTACCTTTGACGCAGACCAAAGGTTTTATAAGATGATACATTTCTTTTTGTAAGAACGGATGGGGATATTGTTGGAAGTCAAGGTTCTATGTGTCCCACTTGTCCTTGCACAAACATTTAACTGTAACATGTCCTGTGGCAGCTGGAGGCCAAACCACAGCAGAGTACAGTACTATGCACCCTAACACTTTCGTAAAGAGAACTGCTGATGCACTCTGTTCCTTCCTGATCAGAGGCACAGAGGTATATGAAAACAAGGAGCAGGAATGGGGAATATGGAGGTACCAAAGGCTATAATATGTGTAAACAGTATGCTCTGMCAATGTGAAGTTTCTGAGAGCTAAAAATTTTTTATCTGCAAATCATGGCATACAGAAACATGACACAAGTAAGAGCGTCATGAAGCAGCATTTTGGAGCGTAAGCCAATACACTCAATGGCACACTAAGTGAAAAATGTATATGTGCAAGTCTGAGTACAAAACAGCAGCACTCACCTCCCATCAGAGTCTGGAAATACATCTTTCCACTGTATGGTCCATAGCCCACCGCAGTTCTGGCTCGTACTTGGAAGGCGTAGATCTTGCCTGGACTCAGATTTGAGATGGTGGCCATGTTGGTTTCGCTAGTCAAGGTTAATGAATTATCCTCATCATCTGCCTGTGAATGCCAATGACAAAAAGGGAAAATGGGTGCTTGGCCAACACTACTGGCTATTCTCATCAAGCAGTGCTAGATTTCATGTGAGTTCAGTAGTCCTCAGTTTTCCCTCTCCCTCTTGCTCTTCAGACCTGGGTTTCTCCCATGATTCTCATGCTTCTTACTGGGTCTGTGTCTTCTTACGAGATACAGAACTATCTCCTGTTGTGGGTCTTTGCTGAGAACATTCAAAAGTATTCAATGGTCTGTTTTGATATTTTGCAAGAACATGTATAATACTTTATTCAGAAAGTTACTGGACATGTTATAAAATGCAGTCAGCTTTACTTGTTGGAAGAAACAGTAGCCCTGCATAATCCCACACATATTGGCAATGTGCTTGGGCAACCTTGCAGACCTCTTCCTTCAAGCTAGTTAGACTGGGCATCATGAAAGATGTGTGTGGAAATGAACTTTGTGTTTGCCATCTTGTAATTCCAGCATATGAACTGTGACTGAGGACCGAGGCTTGGCACTTTAGTGAATGAAAGAGTGCACTTCTTCCCAGTGAATTTCTTAGAGATGTCTCTTCACCCATATATGAGGAAGAAGACATCCCTCCACAATCCATGATAAAATGTTGCAGTGACTTCAAGTCCTGCATATACCATGCTTAGAAACATGAGCAGAAATATTCTGCTGTTCCCTCTATTTCCCCGTATCAACTGTCACTAAACTTATTTAATGGTTTAGCCACAGGTTTTAACTTAGCTACAAGTGTCTGCTCCTTTTTCCATTTTTTTTCCTGATCGATAGATGATTCCAAGCTGAGAAATGCAGATAGACAAATATTAGATGACATATATACTAATAACTTCAGTGTTTGTTACAGCATGTTCTTCCCTCAGAACTGAAGCACTTTTCTCCATCCAGATTTTCACATTCTTTCTTGTATTACAGCTAAACAACAACCTGCAGTGCATCATTCTCTGCTCACCTTGTCAAAGTAGCGAAGCTGGTAATCCAGGATCATCCCATTAGGTTGGTCTGGCTGAGGCCAGGATAAAGTGATGCTACTGGTAGTGCGACTCACCTGATGCATCATGGGAACTGCAGAGGGGACTAGAATAAAACAAAGAAAGAGAGATTGCAAAGGGAAAAGCTTAAAGAGGAATGACAATTGAATATTTACTACAATACGCTGATATGTTAATTCATCTCTTTAATTATCCTTAATTTACATCATACTTTATAAAATAGCCCAAAGAAATTCAGGTATAATTTCATACTACTGGGAGATTGAGTCACCAACATTTCAGACAGAAAATGAAAAATCTCTTAGCCAATTGATAGTGAAGAGGAATTTTCAAATGACCTGCAATGTAACTGGGAGATTCTTCTGGTCTTATAATATGTGATTTGTACATGTTACAAGTTAAAGTACCAGCTTTACCAGCAGTTTCTGCTTTTTGGAGAGTGGGCCAGTCAGGTATGTCTCCAACTTGGAGCTGCCACCTCCCATGATCCTGTTTTTAGTGTCTAAAGCCTGTGGCTGACATTAATTATGGTTGGAAAAAAATCAACCTTTTTTTTGGTCTGAAGTAAGGATCTGGCCCTCAAACATAAAAGAGACCTAAAAGTAAGTAAGATCTTTGTCCCTATAATTTTTAGAAACCTTCTGATTGGCTTTAAGCTGATTATTCTAAAAATCTGAAAGTCAATTCAAGATTTTGGCATAAGGAGTTCTGAAATTCCTTAAATCAGGAGGAAGAAAACAAAATATTATCTTGAAGACAATAAGCTAATATGGTTAACAATTTCAAACACTGCTTATTGAATTAAAATATGTAAATGAGAGTAACAAGCCAGCTTTTTCCCCAATTCATTGGCCTCCTAGAGTCACCACTATCATTTACAGTTTCTGAAGTCAACCTGAAGTAGATAATAGTCTTTGTAATAGGAGTTCCTTTACTGAAGGGGATTCATTTGTAGTTCCTCTAAAAAATGTTCTCAGAATGAGCAGGGAGATGAAGAGATGTTACAGCCACTTACTAAAGAAGCTTTCTGGAGAATGAAAATCCATGTCCGAAAAATAAAAAATCTATAATCTTAGGAACACACATTTCATATTTGAATTAAAGCAAAAAAAAAAAAAAAAAAAAAAAAAAAAGTCAGGATAATTGAAAGAGGATCTTTCAGCTTGCCTTTCAGTCTGCCCACAGAGTTATTCTCAGTTTTATTTTTTCCCTACAGGTAAAATGTCATGTTGATATGAGACCTCCAGGTAAACAGATAGGGAACTCTCATTTCCTTTTTCTTAATGGAAGTAACATTTTCTACAGCATTTAAATCTTCAAGAAAAAGGACATCAATGAAAAGTTGCCACCAACTCTGCTAGTTTTGCACAAGAGATTTAAACTTCCCAGACGGGAAGAGCAAAAAGCAAGGAAACACGACAAATGATCAAAAACAGAAGAAAAGTTTCTGCTCCCTTCTAACTGTGAAAAAAGATAAAAGGAATGGTTTTAAAAATGAGACACAAATATTCTGGAAGTCACAATTCAAACAGACTCTAACCAGGTCATCCTGGGAAGTCAGAAACAGTTAAAAACATCAATGAAACAATAGTGTAAGTTAACAAAAAGCATTTTTTTTATCCTCACCTCTTTTATTTCTAACAGTTACTTGTATTTTAAACAGTTCTGCACAACTGCTTCACCTTCTCATTATAACATTGCTGACAATTACAATTACAATTGCTGACAATTGGATAGAAGAGGGCAAAAAATAAACATGGACTTTCACAGAGATTAAAACATGAATGAAGAACACTGTGGTCAGATAATAGTGTGAGGAAAGCAGGATAACTGTCCGGTTCATATGTTACCAAAAAAGGTTCCACTATGTTGTAACACTTGTTAAAGGTTGATGTCTTCCCAATGGGACATATAGAACATATGAAGGAGAAATGCTTTAGTGTATTTAGTATGCCCTAAATACATGGGCATACTGCAAAGGAAGGATCTGACGATAACACGGTATCACCTCTYAGGTACAAACACAAAGACAACCACAGGTTGTCTTTGGCTAAAGGTACAGAGACATCTGACCTCACTCTGTGTAAAGTAAAGCACAGCAAAGCCTGCACCAGACCAATAATAAACGGCATTATACACAGATCTGTACACAGAAAGTTACATCCAGTAGAATCGGAAATATTGGGAAGTATAAGAAAAAAAATATCACTGAGTGCTTGAGCCTATTGACCATGCTCCCCAGCATCCTAGAGTGCTCCTATTATCCCTGCTTGTCCATTACTCATGTCAAACATAGGATGTATACCTGGAATAATGCTGAGTCTGCTTTATTATAGATGCTCATTTCAGTGAAATCCATTTAATAAGCACAGATTTCTTAAAGCAAAAAGCATCAATCAGCAAAAAAGCTCTGTAACAAAAGTATGAATAAATTCAAGAGTGAGTATCTTTAACCTAACTCTCTAAAACAGAGTTTGTAGACTTAGACACAGACATTTGCATTGTTATTTAAGGATAAAGCCCTCCAATCAGTTCAAATTGGACTTCTCCCACTTCAAGTAAAAGTTATACAGATTTCTGCTTTCAAAAAGCATATATTAATCTTAAAGTGATTTGAAGTGTGAACACATTTGTGGGTGGCATAAGAACATATTTCCTACCAAGCTTCTGAATCAAGTTATTCTCCCAGTAATAAATTATGAAACATAAAGCTCAAGTTTATATGCCTTAAGCCAAATGTCCAGAGTGTCTACCTCTCCTGAAACAGAATTGCTAGATTACTTTTTTTTTTCTTTGCATACAGGGTATTAGCAATGTTTATCAAAGAACAGTTTTACAAGCTTGTTTCATATATATGTCTTGAATCCCATCTAGATTTGTCACTTCCATACCATTTTTCTTTTGTTTTACACGGAGACATGCTAAGTCCATGTCTAATGACATTTGATTAATTAGTTGAGATCTAAAGTCACAGGGCCTGATTTTATTATTCACTGCGAGCAAGCAATATGTTATAAGATCAGACCTCCAAGGAAGACTGGAAAATGTATTGTATTCTTTTTGTACTCTATTACTATAACCAAACATATGAAAAACTCTTATACATATAACATCTGATGGAAGCTGTAAAGCAGTTCAACCATCAGGTAAATATGACTATTCCTACCTGAACACAATACAATAATTTCCATGGATCTTTTTTTGGTAGATACAGGAGTGGATTTAGGATATCTTGAGTGCCTTGCAAATGCTTAATTCTCTGCATTACTAATGCTTGGCAATTTTCTGCCTTTGTTTTCTTTTAATATTGATGTCTGTGACAGTAGTATCTACTCAGATCAACAACATGTGACTGGATTCTAAAAAATTACAGACTGGGAAAGAAAGGAATCTGAAGGAAAGAAAGCTGCTCTGCTTCTGTTTCTTCATTGTTGAACAAGAAGAGTCCACTGATGTAGAATGCCAAATGCCTTCAAAAAGAAACAGTGTTCCCTAGAATTAAGAATTTCACTGAACTAGAACTTTATTTGAATCAGTACATCTGCTGCTCTTTATTCTCTGTGAGTAGAGATGGAGTTACACAATTTAAACAATATGCTAAGTTCCTACAGCATTTTCTCCTTCATCTGAAGAGGACAGATAGTTAGGTCTCATAAGCACTGTGTAAGAGAATTAGTTTAGGGGAGAATTAAAACTTCAGATGAGAGAAAAGTGAGAGTTCTGCAAAGATCAAAGGAAACTAGGTCATCTTCATCATTTGTTTTCAGCTTCACGAATGCAATTCACCAATAAATAAGTACTTAGGAAAACTTTTCCTTTTTTATTAAATTGTACTGAAAATACAAAGAAAAAAATGTTTTAAGAGAAGATTACTTACTTATCAGCACAGATAATACCTAAATGCTGCCTGCCTGGAGAACGGACACATCTTTTCCATAAGATGAATCACAAAGGCTTTATTTCTCAAGAGCTACCTTAATAATGAGTGGGATCATAAAACTTAATTACTGCACAAATAAAGTATATCTACTTTTTAAAAGTATATATACTTTTTTTTTTTAAATTCACTTCAGTTCACACTAAGGAATCTCCAGGTAACCCAGAGATTTTGCCATTGCTGAATGTCTCTAAAACAGAGCAAACACATACACAAAAGATGACCAAGAGCGCTCTGATGAAGATTATGTTCACTCTATGCCAGTATCTGTACTTGCTCATACTCTGATTTTCTGAATCAGTAATTGTTTCAGATACATAATTCCTCCTCTAGGGAAGCATTAGATCTGAAAAAAAGAACTACATGTTAACTGAAGCTAATCTTACCCGAGTGAAAGAGACGAGAAATAGATCAACGATTTCAGTCCTACTAAGACAGAATCTTGGGCTGCAAAACTTCCTCAKACTCCCTTTTGTTTGCCATCTATTCTATTCTTTCCCTGAATCACAGTCAGCATGGAAATAACAAATGAGTAGCAGTGGGCACATTAACTCATATGAAATTTAAATTCATTTTCTCTTGCAGATGTTTTCTTTTTTTGTTGTTGTTGTTTTCTTTTATCATGTCACTCCTACCTCCCTTATTCAAATTATCTCTTTATTGCATTTTTGACCCTAGGTATGTGTTTTCCCCACCTTCATTAGTGGGGGGTGAAGTAGACACATGGAAGGTAGGATGCCTGTATTTCTTTGTCTTCCATATGTGCTATTTATTTAAATTCACCTTGCAATCAGCAGACATCCAGGGTTTAATACAGTTCTTAGAAACAGATATTAATGCTATCTGAGATATTCTGAGATTCAGGACACAGTGCTGGCTGATTTGACATAGGACTTCCAGGAGACTAGAAACTTTCTAGAGAGAAACCTTGAGATAGGACACACAACAGTGTCTGAAAAAGCACATATATGATCATATACCTATGATCATGCAACTGAATCCCATCAGTAGTCAGTGATGACGAGTGAAGAACACTCAGTGATGATGAGTGAGCAGTGAGTAATGCAGGTTTCTATGGCAAACACTCAAGGTGAAGCTCTTTCACACATACATTTGAGATGCCATACCATTATATCCCCCTGGGGTCT